GTGTGGGATTCCTTCCTTTAGAATATGACAGTTCTGGTAGTCATCATTTACCTGCTTACTTGTGTTGGTGATGTGGACAAGATGACTTTTACTATCAGAATTCTCTATTTCTACACAGCACACACATCAAAACAAAAAGATTCAGAAACTATCTTGACCTGATGGGGATTCTTACTTAGTTACCTTCTTTACATCTTTGTTGTGTTGTCTCTGTTATGCACTTGAGAATATGCATTAACATTGAATGTAGGCTGTAATATACTAATTTTGAAAATATCTCTTAGATTCTAAATATGGGTTGTTGGGTAACAACCACGATGCACCAAATTCACCTGGAGGTACATACTGTATTTCCAGTAGGAATTCCAAACCCATTTACTTATAAGGCCAGGCAGGTAAAGTAAATGTCTTAAGCAACCTTAAGATATAAGACAACTGGAAATGGTGAGGTATACTGGGGAACTGTAGAGTGCGACCACATCTTCTTAAAAGCATTTACTTAAAAATCAATTTAAAAAGCAAAAAAACATACTGAGCAAACAAAACCCAAAACACTATCCTGGCTAAACACGGTGAGATGGCCAGTGGAAGCTGGACAGCTTTTTGTCTCTTCTTGTGGAATAAGCTTGAGAAAGAAGGTGCCTGTGAAAAATTGTTTTTCCTATAAATGGAATGAAGGCTGACCTGAGAAAGAGGTATAGATGGTGAATGTCTTTGTTTCTTTAACTACACAGAGATGGTGAGTGTTGCAAAAGTTATACAGTCCTGGGGGCCACAGGTCTTGGTTCTTACATTGCCTACTTGTAAACTTGGGATTAGAATTTAGCTAAAACCTACCTTAGGAGGAATAAATAAAATCATGTATCTGAAAATATTTTGATTAACTATAAATTACAATATAAGTATTAGCTATAATCCTATATACATAACTGATAGCTAGTAAATGCAGGTCCCTAACAAGGGCTTCCACTATTTGTGGTTTCTTTTATACCAATTTGATTTGAATAGCACCTGGGTAATAAGACACATCTTTTCATTACAAGACCAGTGATTATATTACCAGCCTTCTTTTCTTTTAAGTAGAACTTACTGTTATATTGTTTAGATCCCATGTGACAAAGAGCTGGTGTTGGGATAATTCTTTTTTTCCCATTCTCCTATCATCCTTTGCCTGTGCTATCATCATTCTGTGATATCAAATATTCAGTGATATTAGATAATAAACCCCTGGTGAGGCTTATTTGCAACATTTAGGAAAATGGATTCAGGAGTTATTAGATAATATGTCATGTGATTTTCCCACCCAGGAACAGAGAATTGGGTATTTTTGGATTTGAGTACTAAGAGTCTTTCTTTGTTAAACAAAAAACAAATAAATGTAAATCTTACAGATGGAAATGGTCTGACAATTCATGTTATCTTCCCAAGGTTCGTGTTATTGGGAATGTATTGAGTATCTGACTCCAGATGTTCAATTTCTTTGAGAAGCTGGGAATAAGAACTGTTTTTGGTTTTGTTTTGTTTTGTTTTACCATAAAAGTTCTCATTTCATTAGGTATGGGAAATCTCATGGCCAGCCCTGTCTTTTGCTGTGAACTTTGTCCTAGTGTACTAGTACTTTTATTTTAAAAAGGTTATTTCCTACTTGAACTTGATTCTCCTCTGTTAAGCAAAATAGCTCTCTTGTGTCTGGGAAATCTTAATAAAAGATGTTGTTGTAATAGCAGGGGAAAATTATCATAATGATGTACTCTTTACAATTTCCTTCTTCCTTTTTTTTCTTTAATTTTTTTTTTCAAATTATGAGAGTCAGACTTTTTGAATCTCAGGCATTTGTTTTTACCAAGTCCTTGAAAAATGTTTTCTTACATCTTTTGAAGTAGATTTATTATTTTACAATATATTTTACAATATATTTTACAATTGCCAAATAAATATTATTTTGACTTAGGCCTGCAACATTCATCAACACTTCTCCGTTTGTTGTATTAAACCCAAATCTCTTTACTTTAGTGTAATGTGGAAGGGAATGATTGGATTTGGGGATAAGCAGGGAGGAGTGTAGGAGATCATTAAAACTTGATTTGATTCATTCTTTCCCTGAGATGCATTTAGGCAGAAAATACCATAGTTTCTTTGCTTTTGCTAAACTTCATGGAATCCTAGGGCACTCCCTCCACATTTCTGAGCTGGTTTGTCCAATGACTTGGGTTCCTGATAGTCTTTAACAAGCCCTTACTGTGATTTCAGCTTGCCATGAAAGTATTTGGAAACACACTGTTGTAATAATAAAACTAAATTGTTAAAGCCAACATTTATTTAAATTAGACACATTACATATTCAATTACTTTCTTCCTGAGAAAATGTACTGACTGGTGAAAGAAGAGAATTAAAACTATGTATATATTTCTTATATATAATGTTTTTTAGAATATTAGAGAATGTTTTTTAGAATATTAGAGAATGGCTTGACTTGTTTTTTAGAATATTAGAGAATGGCTTGACTTAGTTAAGTGTTTTAACTTTCTGAATTTCCAGTTGTCAATCAGATATGTTACCTGAAGATTTGCTAAATTTTCATTAAGAACTAGGGTCCTCAGCATGCTAATTGTCTTGTGATATTTACACTAGATATTTTGAAGATTATTAGGATGCTTCAACAACTTAACTTGCTTGTAAGAAAATAGACTTTTTTACAATGTGGGACATAATGTGATTTCTAGTTCAATTGAACCAGGTGTTGAGCACAATTGAAGATGACTATTCACTTCTTTGGAGGAATGGCAGAAAGTAGAAATGAACTTTGGGGACATAAAGTAGTGTAAATATCCAGCTGAGAATGTGAATTTTCCACTAAGAAATGCCTCAGAGGCCAGCAACACCTCTTCCCATTACCCCTCCTCTTCCCCCAACTATTCCCACACCACCTCATAAAACCTGGATATTTAAAGAATGCTTGTTACTAGATTCACTGGCAGAGATTAGTCTTTTCACCTTTGGGTGGAATCTTCTCCCCACTTCTGATTTGGAGATCACCTGGACCTGGGTATAGTAACCCCAATCAGCTTCTTGTAAGGATGGTTTTTCACAGTAATGGGAGCCTTGATGCTTGCTTCTTCACTGGCTCATCTTGGATATTTAGAGGTGACAGGCTCAATTAATTATTAACAGCAGTTCCAGCTCTGCCTGTTATTTTATCTCCAATGTCAGTCTGCTTGCCTCCTGAGAGCTAGCCAGGGCATTAGCCAGGGAAAGCTGACCTAGAAGTTAACATCCCTATCTGTGCTATGATGGGATTTTATTTTCTCTCCTTTGCTACTGTCCATCTTTGTCACTCTCCCATTCAAACCCTCACCCCATATCCCTTGGGATTAAGACAATCTCTGGTAAAATAAAGAGCTGGAAATTTGATGATCATAATAACAGATCAAAACTGTGGAGATGATGGTTTGTTTTGGAGATAGTCCACTCTTCAGAAACTGAGAGATTTAAAGGTTTCTCACAGAAACACACAGTAAGGGCATGCCAACCCTCAGCCATGTTGTCAAAAACAATGGGCAAAGCTATAAGGTTGGAACCTTATAGAGAGACCTAGTCAGGGCCAGAGAAATAGAAAGACTGAGGACATCATGGGGTTTGAGGAGGTGAGAAGGAGAAGGGACCAGAGAGAAGGGTTTTCTGAAATGGATTCTGTAAGGGCTGAAGCACACTCCATAGAAAAGATTCTTCTGGAACCATGGAAAAGTACCTTGAGTCACTTTCTGGGGTAGGTGTGTATTCATGATCAGGGAGTTGTAAGATGGTTTAATTTCTGGTCGTGGACTGTACTACTGTACATACATTGCATGTGAAATTCTGAGATTATACACAAATATAGGAAGATTCTAGCTTTGTATGAAACAGAACCTAGTAGTAGAATCTGTTGTTGTTGTTGCTGTTTTTAATGAACATCTAGAGTAAATATTGTAAAGCTATTATGAGCCCAAAACTCAATTACTTCCTTTTTTTTTTTTTTGAAAGTCAGATTTGGAATCTTTGTTAGGATCCATAATCAGATTGCGCACTAGTTGTGTTTTGTAGAAGACAATTCCCACTACTTTGCAAGGAGCAATTCTCCTTTTGGGAGTAGTCTTTTAATCTGGGAATAAAAGTGTGACAGCTCTGCTTGAATTCAGCCCTAAACCAGTGTTGTCTTAAATTGTAGGTCCTGAAATAGATTCATTAGGATTACCATACGTGGTTGTTAATGTGCATGTGCCTGGGGCCTAAACCAAAAAGCAGGAATATGAATTCTCACTGATTACTTTTGCTCAGTAACTTTGAGAACCTTTATGAAGCAGTGTTAATCAGGTTTACTCTATGTTCATGCACATTCTCTCTTCCATTTCTTGTCTCCCTTATATTTGAAGAGATTCATGTGTCTATGAATTCTTGCATTATACAAGTGGCAACTCTCATATTTGCTGTCATCTATTGTGGTCTCTGGTAGACAGAAGAGTTTCAATATTTGTTGAACTGGTCTAATTAGATCAAGAAGTAGTGATGCAGTCAGATTCACAGAAGAGCTAGAGGTGTTTGCCTGAGTCATTCTGTACCAAGACAGTAAGAATTAAGTACCAGAGTCTTCCCCAAAGTTAGTGCCTACCTGCTCCCTTCGTGTGGGAAATAGTTTGCTTGAAGGGAATATGTGAAAGCGGAATAGGATTGGATTACTTCTAGCCCATTAATTATAGGGTAGCTTTCCTTCACCCATCCCCTATTTTTCCTGACACAATTTTTTGCTGTCCACACCTCCATGATATAGTAATAACAGAAGAGTATATTTTGCTTCGGTTTTAGTTTTGATCCAATAGGAAAAATCAGTGTTATCTGTTTTCCCAAGGAGACATTGTCCCAGGACACTTTTCCCAAAGGACCACGGTGCTCATTCATCCATTTTTTATTTATTTTTATTGCCTTAATTTTATTTCATTTCTACCCTTGCTAAATGCTAGTAAGATACATGCCATAAAGAAATATATTCTAGAGGACATGAAAAAGCAGACCTCATGGCTGTTTACTCTGCTGGCAATGAGTCCAGTCATCAGTACCCTAAACTTCCCCCTTTGAAGCTTGCCTTCCATGATAGTATTCTGTTTGCAGATGAGTTGCTCATGGACACAGGTGTGGTGCCACCTTGCAAAGTGACAAACCTCTGGTGAGAAAACAATACTCTGTTCTTTGACCATCCTTCTAGTTATGTGTTTTTCTCTCTCCCATGGTTACCTGGGATGTCTAAAGACATAGTATTCCACAAATGTGTGGGTTACCTGACTGCTGATGTGTCTGAAGGGGAAATATGAGGGAATTGCTTCTGAAGATTCCTCTTTGTTTCCTTACAATACGAACATTATAGGATATATTCAAACCCATCATTTTGAACTTGAATTTGCTGAAGGAGAGACTAGCTGGGTTCTGAACTTTACACTGGTGACACTTAATAAGCGTTTATTATTTTCCTATTAGGATTCCTTACATATCCTCATCAGAGACAACAGGGGTGATACTATCATTAAAGAAAATTGGGGCTTCTTGTAAACATTCTGGAGAGTCCTCAGCCTCTTGGAAGGGATGGGATCCCTGCTCAGCTTCCAGCTGCTGAATCTTCCTTTCCTTTTCCTCTAAAACTTCTTCCAGCTGGGTAATCTTCTCAGTCTGAAGGGAAACCTGCATTGACAACTCTATAATCAGGTTAAGTTTTCGATCACTTTCTTCCACAGGCGGGAGACTGCCATAGGACTCTTCCCGAGAGTTGTCTTCTAAAGCAAACAAGAAAAAGAAAATCTGAGCAGTTTTAATAGGATTTCCCAGAACTCAAAGAGAGGGAAGATGAAAAAGCCTTATTTCTCATGTTCTTAAAAGGGAACACAGATGTTGCGTCATCTGGTCAGATATACTGAGAATGGAATCTGGATCCAGTGAGGGAAAAGTTTCTGGGTGCTCATGAAAAAAGAACTTGGAAATCTCCAGAGGGAGGAGAATCAGTCTTTGCCAACTCTTTTTTGTACACATTTACTTGTTAATTAACCATGGGAATGAGCACTCCTTGAAAATCCAATCTATAAACAATAGTCATCCCAAGTTTCATGGTATCCTTTCCCCTAAGAATCTTTCACAAGAACAACAATTGTGTACAAATAAATATACTTTAAATTGAATTTAAACTCAAGTAGGAAAAAAAGTTGTCATTGCCCCCTCTGGAGAAAATGATGAGAAAAGACTAGTTTCTTAACCTAAGTCAGCTTTAGAATTGGCAGGGGTATAATTTGAGGTGATTCAGGAAAACTATTAGCATAGTATCCTCCATAGAGATTATTTTTCTTAAGTCTGAAGCTTTTTCAGTATTTCTTAATAAAAATCACCAGTATTTCCTGGATATAAAATCTTATCCTTTATAATTTCTGAATAAAGCCTGAGTAAGGAGGGAAAGGTAGGCTCCAATAAAGATATCAAATAATGGTGTCTGGCAGCAGGAAATCCTTGAAAAAAAAATCCCACTAGATCATTAAAAAATTTAGCTACAGAAAGCAAATCTCATCCTACCACACTTTAGCAGAATCACCCTCCTTTATCGCTCTCATGCCGAAATTTCCACCATCAGAATCATTTGTCTGAGTTATATAAAGGGCAGACATCAGCTGTAGGTAAGGGATGTCAGTTGCTTAGGTAGGAATACTTGAGCTAATAGCCTACAAATTGATACTACTAACAGTTGATTCCTATAATTAAAGGACCAGCATTTACTCAGTCCTCAGTGAAAACAAACCCTACAGCTGCATCCAAGGGAAACATAACTGCCAACCCAGGAGACAAATGCCTACTACTATTGTGTACCTGTGCACCTGCTAAAGACAGGGCAGCTTCACTGTGATAGTCCATGCAGGCAGGGAATGGCCCACTTCTCAGCAGATAAAACTGATTCACAGTGTTTTTCTAATTTTCCCCAAGGGATCATGGGATGAAAGCCTGAGCACTGAATTGCACAGTGGGCAGGATGCTTTTGGCCTACCAAAAGTGACGAGAGGAAAGATCAGGATGTTCTCTGCTCTTAGCAATTGTTATTAGCAGTATACTACATTTCAAGAATCTGTGGGGAAGTTTTTTCTGAATATTTAAAATTTTAACAGTAATATTGAAGGAGATGATAGTTTACATACCTTTAAAAGCAATGAAAAAAAAAAAAAACCCAAAGGAGCATGTAGTTTGTTGCCTCTGCAATGCACCTGTGCTTTCAGTCCCAGGAACGTCAGTCCATTTGGCAAGAGGCTTTCATCATCTGCTGATATGCCAGGGCCTCACCTTTTATCTGACCAGAGCTGTGCTGTCTTATATGGTAACCACTAGCCACATGTAGCACTAAGCAATTAAATGTGGCTAGTCTGAAATCAGATGTACCGTGAGTATAAAATACACATTTGATTTTGAGGGCTTAGTGTGAAAGAAATGTGAACTATTTTATGAAAATGTAAAAACTGGTTATGTACTAAAACAATAATATTGGGACACCTGTGTGGCTCAGCGGTTGAGCATCTGCCTTCAGCTCAGCACATGATCCCAGTGTCCTGGGATCAAGTCCCGCATAGGGCTCCACACAGGGAGTCTGCTTCTCCCTCTGCCTATGTCTCTGCCTCTGTGTGTGTGTGTGTATTTCATGAATAAATAAAATCTTTTTTTTAAAAAAACTGAATATTTTGGATATATAGTGTAACGTAAAATACATTTGAGAACAATATTTACTCATTCATTTTTCCTGTTTCCAAAGTTTGGCTACTAGAAAATTTAAAATATTATATGTGTATGCATTTGTGGCTCTCACATTTCTGTTGGATGGTGCTGGGCTCGAGTGTCCTTTTGGATGAGCACTCTCTGAAGCCCAGAGGATTGGGTTCTTCATAGATGGCTCTAGTTAACATGTACAGTTGTTATTTGAGAGGGAGGATTGTGGGTTCTCAACTGTTAGCTCACAAATCACTTTTCTGTTATTCCCAAAGGTGGAGGCATGGAAGTCTGGGCTCGGGAGAATGGGTTCTTAGCAGTTGAAGTGAGTTTCCACAGGAGAGGAAAGAAAATATGGGAAGATGCAGCAAGAGGCAGTGAGCAGATAGGAAGGAAAGGAATGAGGGGCAGTATCGGGAAGGCTGGGCGTTCCTGGTACTCAGGGATACAGAGGGGCATCGGGAGCCTCCTTCCTTGTGGTATGTACTTGTCCTCTTTCTCTTTGACCTCTCCTTCAATCTTTTCTTTCTCCAGCTTTTCCTCTTTTTTCAGAAGTATTTCCTACCAATTTACACAATTTTTAAAAAGGCATTCGTGCCATTATAGAAGGCAAACAGGTTAAAAAGTATTTGTTTTGTCTAGAGGTGGAATACTTTGTTCATCTAATTCTAGTGATAAATGGGTCAAAATGCAGCAGGATGGCCTTACCTGGGTGATCACTGTTACTGATTGCTTTGCCCTCCCAGAAGAGAGTCATAGAGAGAGAAGATCGAAAAGATGCTGGGTGTCTTGGTTAGCCCAGGCTGCCATAACACAAATACACTGTCTTGGTGGCTTAAACAAGAGATTTATTTTCTCACAGTTCTGGAAGCTGGTAGTTTGAAATCCAGGTGCCAGCAGAGTTGGGTTCTGGTAAGAACTCCTCCTGGTTTGCAGAGAGCCATCTTCCCACTGTGTCCTCACATGGTCCAGAGAGACACCACAAGCTCTCTGATGTTTTCTTATAAGGGCACTCATCTCATGTCCCCAGTCTTATGACCTCAGTGAAACTTAATTACTCCCAAAGGCATCTCCAAATGCTATCACATTGGGGTTAGGGCTTCAATAGAGGAATTTTATTGAGAACACAATTCAGACTATAGCACAGGGAAAAGACAATTGGAAAAGGAGAGATAGCACAAGGGCTTTGATTCTCACTGTATTGTTTTCATGTATTAAATGAAAATGCTGATAAGGAGATAAGCTAAAGTGCATCCATATACCAGCTTTTTTAGATTCCATGGATAAGTGATATCATATAATATTTGTCTTTGTCTGACATATTTTACCAAGCAGAATGTACTCAAAAGCTGAGCTGATAGAAAAAGAGTAGAGTGGTGTTTACTAAGATGGGAGATGGGGAGGGGAGGAATTGGAGAGGTATTGGTAGAAGCATACAAATTTCTAGTTATAAACTTAAATTCTGAGTGTCTAATGTTTAGCGTAATGATTGTAATTAATAATACTGTATTGCATACTTGAAAGTTGCTGGGAGATTAGATCTTAAGTGTTCATTCCACAAAACAGAAATGGTAATTCTGTGATGGGATGGTGTTCTTAGCTAACACTGTGATGGCAATCATTTTGCAAAATACACGTGTATCCAGTGAGCACATGGTACGCTTTAAACTTAAACAATGTTATAGGTCAATCACATCTCAGTAAAACTGGGGAGGAGGAAGAAATAAAAGAAATATACCAAAAAGGAAATTTCTCATACAGCTATATTTTATTATCTAATGACCTCTTCACACACACAATAAAAATATTTTTGTTCCGTTTCTGAACACATTACAAGTCACAAAAGTGTTTTAAACTCTTCAGTGAAGTGAGGAACTCCAGAAGTTTCATATCCTAGTGGAAATAGCCTGAGACCACCCCCGTGCTTTGTCCAGACTCCACTACTAATCTTTGCATTGATCTGCCAGTGCACTATTATCCGTGAGTCTGAACTTCCTTATCTGGAAGCCCCTGACAGCTCCACCCACCCCACATCTCAAATATTGGTGGTCTTTCCTAGATTTTCATTAGCAGCTCATATAGTCTTGCCAAGGTCACATCTGCCTGGAGCATGGAGAATGCTGTCATCTGACTAGATAATCTAGGTTCAGCCCCCTACCCAGGGATCCAGGAGATACAGAAACAAGAGAAGTTGTTCTTTAAGAGGGAGGGAGAAAACCTGATTAGCCATAATCGGGGTATGAAATCACAATTGCTACAGTTGCAGAGATTTATACAAGAACACGCCATTTTTTTTGTGTGTGATTTCCCCTCTTTCTGCATCAACTTAAAATAGGTATGAAGCAGGAATGAGAATAATGGCGTAAGGTCATGGCAAAGATGACACCGGGAAAGGAGTGGTGGCAGCCGCGCATACTTAAAAGGATTTAGAAAGAAAACAGGCAATAGGAGCATTCTGCTCGAGCTGGGGCAGACTATGCTTCCTTTTCTATGTAGCCTTCACAGACAAAAGGCCTCGAAGAAATTGTACCAATTTTATTTGGCTATTTCCAGCTTCTCATTCTTAACATCCTTAAAACCTTCATGCCCTTCACAAAGTGCCACATGTGAGTTCTATCAAAAATACTGATAACGAAATAGAAAACAGCAGAGGTTATTATACCTCGAGTAGCTCAGAGACTCAGAGACTTATTAGCTTATTATGTGGCTTCTGGACCATCTGATTTCACCTGCATAGGAACTATATCTGCAACGTCCCTAACTGATGCTTTTTAAAGTGTCTCTCTGATATCAGTGTCCCTCCAATTGTAATCAGTGAGTAATATGTACCTTTTCCCAAAAATATGCAGCTACATATTTTTACAGAGATACCTGGTGGATAGAAAGCTGTGTTGGACAGTCTGGAGGAGAGCAGGATACAGCTCGGAGCTAATCAGAGAAAGGACACATGGTTTAATACGGGGTTAAAAGACCTACATCACATGAAAATGTTGCTTTGAGCATCTGGAAGTTAATAGTTTTGTGTCTGCAGTGATACATTGGT